TGGCAGTGAGTCTATTTTGTTGATTATGATTAAGTGCTGCACTGCTAACCCACAAGGTCGGTGGGTCAAACCCATCAGCCATTCCCTGGGTGAAAGGTGAGGCTGTCTACTCCAGTAAAGACGCACAGTCTTAGAAACCCTGTATCGGGTTTCCAGGAGCTGAAATCGACTGCATGACCTTGGGTTTGGTTTAGGGTCTCTGCTCATGAGAAACATAACAGAGCATCCACTGTGACTATTTCAAATGCCTTCCCTCAGAAGGATTACGAGTGTGCATGTGTGCTGGGCAGAGAGGATGGGGGAGAGCATTCCAGACAAATGCTTCCGACAAAAGTGACACTCGAATGACCAAGCTGTCACTGCCTGTGGAGTCAGCTTCCCCATCGAGACCCCACTCCATCTCTAGAAAGCTGGTCTTGCTTTCGGATCTCCTGACCCAAGTCCCCAAACCTTCACTGGGAGAGACCGCTGCCGCTAGACGACTATGCCTCTGGAGTGGGTGGCCTGTCCTCTCACCTGAAGCATCCGAGCCCGAGTTTCTCTAAGGACTGCCTCACCTCCTGTCCTCCTCCTGCAGGCCTTCATTCAGGCCCCTGGGAGCAGCTGTCTCCTGCTGCCCAGCTCACGGCAGCTGGGCCCAAAGCAGCTGAGCAGAGGCGTGTGAGGGGACGTGGCCATTTCAGCTACTCAGGGTGGCCTTTCTCTGGCTGAACAGCTGTCAGTGTGGCTCTTGGGTGACAGGTTTGTTTCTTCACCCTGCCCCCTGAAGCCCACCTCCTGAGCAACCCAGGAAGATCCACCACCTCAGGTGTTCCCAAACCACTCTGACCGAGCGATGGGTGCCAAGCTGGGAATCAAGTCACTTCTGAAAATACACCAGAAAGTCCAGAATGAATGTGGCCGGCTCTTCCCTATGTGAGCTCATCCCGAACCCCAAACAAACTAGAAGCAAGAAGTCTGGCTTTCGCTCTGCCACAAAGTCCACGAGGAAAGTGTCGCTTTCTCCTGTCTCCCTTTTATGGACAGAGAAGACCTAACCTGTCTTGGTTGGTGAGGCTAGCACATATTTGCAGAAGGTATTTGCTGAGGCAAACCTTGTCCCCACCAGATGGCCTGGTCTCGGGTGATCAAGTGTCCTGCTTTGCCCAGCACTGAGGCGGCTCCCAGGGTGCAGGATTTTCAGTGTCAAGCCCGGGAAAGTCCCAGGCAAACCTGGAGGACTTGGTCATTGTAGTCTCTGTCCCCAAATAGCAAGTCTTGGCCAGGGATCACCAGCCTCCTCTATGAGATGTGCTTGCCCCATCCTGCAACAACCTTAGCTGGACATGAATGAGCAAGGTACCATCTGACAGGGAAGATAACAGTTTCCTCAGAAGTTCTATGTGAAGGTCAAACCACAATAAAAACCCTCCTGAAGCGCCCTGCCTATTTCCAGCACCTCTATTCCATTCTTTCATCCGTTTCTCTCAACGACAAGCTTCCATCAAAAGCAAGAGAAAATAGGGCAGTGGGGAAGATGGTTTGAAGTATTCTTTTTAGAAGCCCCTGCTCCAGGATTCTGTCAATATCGTGGAACATGAATGCAAAGACTCCCCAGTTCTTCCCGGGGCCTAGATCTTTCTTCTGAAAGGCAGTTCAGCAGAGCAAGACTTGGTTGTAGCGCAAGAGCCAGCAAGAGCTAGACCGTCCCCTCTCCCAGGGGCCAAGTGACGTGCTACCCTAAAGACACTGATGCCTGCCTTGGGGTCACGGAAACAGCTTCTCCTGGCTTCTGGTCCATCGCCGGAGCTGCTTTCTTGCATAATTGATAGATGTATCAGAAAGTAAACCACCTGGTCCCGACAGCCAGGAAGCCACAACCAAAGACAAGTAGGTCAGGTGCCTTGAGGACACAGGCTCTTGGGGTCAAGGCAGCCCTATCCATCAGACACACTGCAGCCTCTCCCCCATCAAGAGCTGCTTTATTCCCAAGAACTCCCTAGGGTTGTGTGAGAAGACGGCCCCAACTGACCCAGGAGGCATGCTGGGGACCTTCCTACTGAGCTTCTGCTAGTTCTGATACCAAACCCAAAGCCCCAAACACCTGCAATGCTTCCCTCAGCCCAGCACCAGCTCCTCTGGGGAGACTGTCTCCTGAGGTCACAATCCGAGGTGAAGAAGCGTGTCCATGCTACTCCCAAGAGGCCTTGAGGGGCCGCTTGCGAGGACCCTCAAAGAGAGAAGTTGAGTCGGGCACTGTCCCCAGCTGTGGCTCCAGAGGGACGTGTGAAGCTCCACAACAAACATGCTATGTTCTATGCACCAGGCGCCATGGTTGGGCCACCAGAGAATTCCTGCCAGGAATGGAATTTTGAGCGGACTCAATGGCCAGCCGTTCCCAGATCAGAGAAACCAGAGGCTGCAGACATCAGCACCCTGGGGTCTTCATCTTGGGCCTGCCCGTGGGCAGTGTGGCCCGCGGACAAGCTGGGGAAGGCCCCCCGCTCTCTCGCGCTTTGCCAGGAGGGTCCCTGGTGCCCGCTATGCTGCCCCGCCTTCCGAGAGCTGGAGAAGAGCAGCTCGTCCAGCTGTCTGGGAATCTTCTCTTCCCAGTTTCTGGGGCGCGACTTTGCTACTGAACGGGGCTAGAGGGCTGTAATTATCTAGACAGGATAAGAGCTATTTTGGGAAGGAGCCGGCCGGCTGCCAAGGCTTTTGACTTCCTAAACTAAAACAAGATGCACCGAAAAAGGGGGTGAGGGTTGGGGAGAGTGAGTATCCTGCTCAATCACAAACATCATATCCTAAGTGAAGGGGAACATTAATCCCTTCCTTCATCCATCCCACAGGAATGGATTTGCAAGGCGAGATGAACAAGATAAGACGGCCCTGGCTTGGGACAGGAGAACATAGCCTGACCCCCTGCTGCCTCCCTCTCTCCTGAGACCTCCATCAGCGCTTACTCAGTCTGCTCCCGTTGACTCTGACATTTAAGCACAGTCTGTTTTACATTGTTGTTGAAATGCTTCCGGTGCACGGCTTATCTCCCTAAGCAGATGGGGAGTGTCGCAAAGCCCGAGACTGCGTGCCATGAGGCTGCGTGTGCCCCCCCCCCACCACCACCACCACCACCACCGAGTTCAGCCAAGTGCGAGCATCGGAACAGAAATTGCTTTTTGCAGGGCGGACGGGAACGGGGAGGAAGGAAAGCAAAGCGAGAGGGCAGGAGGGAGGATTTGCTGTCTTGTGTGGAGATAAGCTCTAAAAGTAGCTGCTCCCACCCACAGCTGAGCTCAGGATGCCGGGCCGGGGAGGAAGCCGGGGCAGGGGCATTTCTGGCCACCTCCTTTTCAGCTGTTCTGCTCTCTGAGCTCGGGCTGACCAGCCCAGCCCAACTTGTTCTCCATTTGCAGCCCACGGTGTCTCCCAGGCTGGCCCAGGGATGGGGTCCGCTGGAGGTCAGGGAGAAAGAATGAAGGCAGGCAGAGGCCTAGCTACCTTCTCAAGGGCAGATCAGGAAGAAGAAAATGGGCACGGTGAGACAGGGCACTCTGCCACAACCCAGACTCAGGGCTGCCGGGAGCAGAGTCCACTGCATGCCTCCTGAGGAACAGAGCGTGTGTAACCCAGAGAAGCTACCCCTCCTGGAGCGCCCATGACTGGAACCATCGGATCCACAGACGGCTGCCCAGACCGCCTCCCTACAGAGCACGTGGCAGGAGTCCTGCTGATTGGTCTCTAGGCTTTCTTGCCAGCCTTGTAACTGGCTCATACAGCACCTCGGGGGAGATGGGAGCCACAGCCTAGATGTCAGCCCAGTCCCCACCTGATCTCTCTGCCAGGTGGCCCCGTGAGCTGAACCACCTGCCCAACCACAGGTGCTAGCTCTGTCTCCCTCCACACTCCCCGCTGTCCAGGGCAGGAGGGGAATTTGGTTAGGCTGGAAGACTGGGAGCAATCTCCCAGGGGTGTTCTTACCTCTTCGTCTGTCATCAGGGAGAAGCAGCAGCCAGGCATCCCCGGGGACAGCAGATGCAGTGCAGAGAGGGCCAGCAGAGAGGGAAAAGCGGGATTTTACTGAAGATGCGGCGCATGGACTTGGGCATAACCTGCTCCAAATCCCTTCCTAGTACAAGTGGCCCAGGATCAACAGCTGCCATTTCCCGAGTGCTCACTGTTGCCGGGACCTAAGTCCTTGACATGCCATGGCTTGATTAGCCTTCATGATGACCCTTGGAGGGAACCATCCCCACTAATGGGGAAACAGTGTTCCAACAGTAAAATGGCTTATCCAAGCTCACCTAGCCAGGAAGGAGTAGACCCAGGGCTTAAAACTAGCCAATGTTATCCAGAGCCTGTACTTCACTAAAGGCCTCTTTGATAGTGTTGCTCCCACTGAGGGGGAGAGCTGCCCTTCAGCCTCCCTGCTGAGCAGCACTGGAGGGGCTGGATTGCATATTCCAGGGTCTCTTCCCCTGGCCTCTCTCCTGCCAGGGCTAAAGTCTAAAGCCTACTTTCAGCCACTACGTTCATAGTAAGGCCTCCCTGTCACCCACATTCATTACATGGTACGAGGCCTCTCCCACCAGAGGGGCCAAGAGACAAAGGGAGCAGGGATTACACGGCCTGAGGACACCCCTCTCCAGGTTCTAGAGTCCCCCCTGCAGGACCCACTGATTCTCTCAACCGGGAGACCAGACTTCCCTCGAAACCCAGGTCCTGGGTGTGGGGCTTGAGCAGGGTTTGAAGGAACCATAGGGACACAGGAGAAGACCTCCGTGCACACACCGCCCAGCGTGGATTGGGGTGAGCTTAGGCCTGAGCAGGCTGTGAAACAGGTGGTTTTCATCACCTGGCAGTTAAGATCCGCTACATTGGAAAGCTGTGGGCTTCAAGCCGTTCTCCATTCTGGAAGTGGCTTCCTTCCCACTGACAGGAGACCCTGGACATCGAAAAGGGGGTCGAGCCCCAAAGGAACGACCCTTCTGAGACCTTCACATCCAAACTCCAGCTAGCCCCTCCTAACAGACCCTATAGACACAGAACCGCCCACCACCCCGGCCTGCCCGCGCCAGGCTCCCACAGCGGACCCCCAGGAGAGAGACGAGCACAGACCTTTTAGCCACCAGATGACACGATTGTACATCTCCTCAGAGACATCTGAAAGGAAGGGAGATGGTTGCTTTGCCTCCCTCCATGCCAGATGCACGCCCCCACCCCGCATGACTGACAGCCATCTGTCTAGCTCCTCAGTTCTCCTCCAATGGTGCCCACAGCCCGGCGTCCCGCAAGGAGCAGTGCCAGTTGAGGACCAAACGGCCCCTTCCCCTCTGCCTCTCCTGGTCTTTCGCTCACACCTCCTCTCTGTGGCCATGTGGTGAAGGCCTCTCCCCTCCTAGAAGGCCAAGCCCGGCTCAGCGCCACACCAGCACCTTGACCTGCAGACCGCGTTCTCCTTAGTAGCCCTGACCCGCCCTCACCCCAGCTCAGCTCTTTCGGACCAGCCTCGGGAAGCAGCCTCCCGCCCTGCAAACCAGTCTCTACCGCCTTCCATCGAAAAGGGAAGCTGTGCTGCCTAGGAGAGTCAGCGCTTGAGGCCAGGCCCACACATCGTTGCTGACGTCATTAGCTCGGGGCTCAGAGCAGAGGGCAGAAATGGGGCCCTGGAGCTTAAGAATGAGGCTCGCTTTGACACTGCAGGAGGAGAACCCTGAGGTCCAGAATGAAGAGGCCTTTCCTGCCCACCCAAGCATCCCACCCTCAATACATCGGGGCCGCACCTGGGCAGTCTGCTTCTTCACATACCCAAAAAGAAAGCACTAAAACTTTGAATGGGTTGTGGGGCGGTGCGCTTGGGGGCCTGCAGCTCGTCCCTCAAGGGTAGGCCAGCTGAAGACCGTTTGGTGGCAGCGACTGGTGGTGGTGATGGTGGTGGTGGTGACGGAGAGGCCTCTGGAGCTGGTGGCTGGGGTGGACTTGCCACCTCTCTGGAGAAGAGCACATCTTCAGTGAAAGGACTTGAGTCCTTTTCAAAAAAGGACAATAGAGACTCCAGAGGAGCCGGGGACAGAGGCTCAAAATCAGGTGTCACTGGCCGGCTGGAGGGCATTTCAAAGTCAGGATTGAGCAAGGGCCACCACGAAGAGTCAGGCCCGTACCTGGGTAAGGATCGAGGGGGCAAGGGCCTAGGGGTCAGTCCCAGTTCCATATGAACACAAGGCTTTCGGGAGGGTGCTGCGGCCGTGTGGACCGTTTCTGGGGTCCTCTGGGTGTGAGGCTTACAGATAGGCTCTGGGGTCAGAAAGGTAGAAGATCTGCCGGAGCTCTCGAGAGCCACGGGCCGAGCTACTAGGCGCTGTGGCGCTTTGGAGATAGTGACCCTGCGGCTGAGCTCGCCTTCTCTGGCGGCGGGCTTGGGGTTCGACTCCACCTCTGATGACAACGTGAGCTTTGTGGTGGCCTTGGGTTCGGTGTAGATGGCATTGGCATTCTTCAGAGTGGGCTCGACCTCTGTCCGCCTACGGTGCCCAGCACCCGACTCTCTAAGCATAGAAAGTTTGAGGGATGATTCCATTTTCGCATTCTTTTGTAAGGCCTTGGCTGCTGAGTAGCAGGCTGTCTGGGCATCCACATCAATCTCTGGGCCGGGCGTTCTTCTCTGGGCTGCCCGGGGCTCCACAGAGGCCCGGGAGCTGCCATGTTCCGGAGGTCTGGCATCTGTGGGAGCTATTCGCCGAGGGAGGTCAGTTTGGACGGCTTCGTCCTTTGGATAAAGAGAAACCCTCCGAGGTACTCTGACCCCTTGTGGGTTCTGGACCTTGGACGGTCGCTCTTCCTCTTGCAAGCCTTCTAAGGTATCCTTCTCGTCTACAAAACTCAACCGGCGATTGGCTCTGTCGTCTGTGGGGAGCCAGGAGCGCTGGCTGCTCTCATGCCCCGCAGCTCGGAGTGTGGCCTCCTCCCGCGGTGCATTCACACTCCGATGTAAGGTGACATTGTGGGAAATGGACTGGGTGCGCTGGCCTTTCTGGGGAGAAGAGCTTTGGCGGGACGCCTCAGATCTTGTCCGGCTCTGGCTCTCGATGCCCCGGGGGACAGATGCCCTGACACTCGGCCCAGATGGGGGGGAGAAGGAGCGAGCATAGTCGGTTGTGGTGTGCTGCCCAGCCTCTGACTTTCGACTAGGAGGAGAAGTCAGGGAGTTGGCAATGCTTCGATGGTGTGAAGTAACAGAGGACCCGTGTCCCCGGTGAGGGGCTGCGCTACTAACCTCAGCCCCTTTGTGCGTTGCAACGGCTACTTTGGACCCAGTTTTATTTGTCTTGACCAAGTGATAGACTGTGCCTCTCTGAGAAGATCCCATGTTTCGCCGGCTGACTGGTATTCAAGGTCCTAATGAAGCCTGAATATTTACCCTTGGTGTGAAGGGTTGCTGTCATTCTAAGAATGTCTCGGACATCCTCCTTAGCTAGCTGTCTGGTGATGTCATAAAGGAAGGAGCTTCCTATTAACCATCCTGGCCCCCAGCCACAATTCTTCAGAGAATCGCAGGCAGTGCCCAAAAGGAAACTGCAGATTTGTCTTTGGAGTTGGCACCACCAAGCCTTGGGCTGAGTTCTTACCAAAACTCAGATTTCCTGGGATGTAGGGAAGGTTCCAGACCCTTCCTTACTCTGCTCAGATTCTAGGACTTCTCAGAGACTAATCAAAGAAGGAATCGGCCAGGATATCCTATTAAGGCAAGGCTGCCCAAACCTATCAAGCCCTAGCCTTAATCAGGTATGAGATTTTAAGTCGTCCCAGCTTTGCGTGGTACTACACCCTATGCAAGCCAAGAAAATTGACCTCTAACCTTTTCCAGGTTTTGGTTGACCCTGGGGTAGAAAGTTCAGGTTGCTCGCATCAGTTCTCATACATCTTGATCCAGAAGAGAGCATCCTGTTGCAGAAGGGATTTGGAGTTAGACAGTTGCTGATTTCCATCACAAAGGACTGGAGGGAGCCCAGGAAGCACCTGAATCCGTTGCGTCACAGAATAAACGGTGGTGCCCTTTAAGCAAGGTGGCTCATCAGCTGGGTCCCAGCTCTCCCCAATTTGAAGTGACTTCCCAATTTGGATGATGTTTTGGATCCTGTCACTTTTCTTTCCCGTTTCCTACTCCTCTCTTTCACAGAGTTCCTGCCGTATCCAGCATGGCACTCTTGGCTCTAATCGACCATCAACCGTTAGTTCTAGAATGCTCAAATTCTTTCCTTCTGAACTTTTCCCCCCTTTTAAAAAAAAAAATCATTTTATTGGAGGCTCGTACAACTCTTATCACAATCCATCCATCCATCCATTGTGTCAAGCACATTTGTACATTTGTTGCCATCATCATTCTCAAGACTTTTTTTTCTACTTGAGCCCTTGGTATCAGCTCATTTTCCCCTCCCTCCTCGTCCCACCTCCCTCACGAACCCTTGATAATTTATAAATTATTATTTTTCATGTCTTACACTGTCCGATGTCTCCCTTCACCCACTTTTCTGTGATCTGTCCCCCAGGGAGGGGGTTATATGTAGATCCTTGTGATCAGTTCCCCCTTTCTCCCACACCTTCCTCTCCCACTCCTGGTATCGCTACTGTCATTATTGGTCCTGAGGGGTTTATCTGCCCTGGATTCCCTGTGTTTCCAGTTCTTATCTGTACCAATGGGGAGATGAGCCAGTCAGGGTGCAGTATAGCAATGATGAAACATACAATTTTCCTCTAGTTCTTTTAATGCTTCCTTCCCCCAACTATCATGATCCCAACTCTAGACCAGAGGTTTCTGAATTCTTTTAAAAGTAACCTTAATTAGAGATGTAATGGTGAAATCAGAAACATCGTTAGTAACAGGTATCTCAAGAAATTTTAAGCTACTGACCGTCTTTAGCCTACAAAAACCCTCAGCTAGGGGAAAAGTTGGAGAGTATTTACAAGTGAGATATCTTGAAGACACTCAGTATAAGCCAGGCTAATGTGAAGATATCTTGTCATCATAAGATTGAGACTGGCTGACTGACACAATGCATCCCTATGAGATTATACCTTAAATACGATAGTCTATTGCTATGTAGGAACCCTGGTGACTTAGCAGTTATGCATTGGGCTGCTAACTGCAAGGTCAGCAGTTCAAAACCACCAGCTTCTCCTTGGGAGAAAGATGGGGCTCTCTACTCCCATAAAGACCTATAGTCTTGGAAAGTCAAAGGGGCAGTTCTATCGTGTCCTATAGGGTCACTATAAGTTGGCATCGACCCAATGGTAGTCAGTTTGTTTGGTTTGGGGGTTTTACTGATATATATAGCGTTTAGTCATAAAACCATATATACTGCTTATTTGTCTTTTGGCCTAAAAATATTCCATTTCTCATTAAGAGGCAGTTTGAATTTTTTCCATCAACATGTAACCTTAAGGCTGTTGACTGACTTTTCTAATCTTCTAAATAATGCTTATATTTTCCTAACATTGGGGAAAATGAATCTTTTCCTCATTTATGAAAATATACCATTTTCATCAATAATTAGTATTCAATTTCAATATAATAAAGGATGATTTTAGCACAAGTGTTCAAACTACAACATAGAATCTGAGATTTTCCTCATGATGAATAACTTAGAAATGTCTGAGACACGGGGTTCTCTGAGGGTGCCCACCCCCTTTTGCTCTCCCACCTAGCAGCAATGTGACGGGGATAAAGTGTGATAGCACAGGTAAACTCTCTGTCACACTGTTTTCTTTTGAACGAAAGGTATACAGTGAGGTGCAGGGGTGCCAGGCATGGCCCCCTGGCTGTGGTCTTCGGAACTTGATCCAGTCAGTCCAATAGGCGGCCCCCGTTGATTCTTAGCTCCTGATCGGCACGGCTTTGTGCAGAACCTCCTCACCCCAACTCCGAGTCCACAGAACACAGCAGAATGAACTGTGTGTGACGGCTGAGGCTAGATCAGTAGGGTATGCAGTCATGCCAGCTGCCATATGGCGAGGGCATTCGGGTGGCCCTGTGGAGAGGCCCACGTGGGAAGGCACTGCCCCACACTACCCATTTCCTTCTAATATGACGTTGTTCTTCATATGATGGATAATAGAACTGATTAGATTTATAGCTGATAATAAAACCCTAGCCATGCCTCCCTCCCATGGACGTAAGTATCCCCTACTCTTTCTGAAGTCTCTGGGTGGCGCAAGTGACTGCTCACCAAAAGTTGGCGGTTCAAGCCCACCCAGAGATACCCTGGAAGTCCTGGCGGTCTGCTTCCATAAGGCCACAGCCTTGAAATTCCTGTGCAGCAGTTCCATTCTGCACACGGGGGTCACCTTGAACCAGACCTGACTCTGGCAACTAACAACAGCAAACCTCTTCTAGTCCCCAAGGGAAAACAGCTTTGCCACGAATTATACACAGTGGCTGCAACCATACGCCCGGGCATGGGAACCATCCCGAGGATGACGTGGGACCGTTCGGTGTTGGTTCCGTTGTGTACAGAGTGGCTATGGGTCCAAACGGGCCCAATGGCATCTGACAACAGAATCACCCGAAACCCTACCACCTGGAAAAGAACCACCATTCCAATAGGCATTTTCCCAGAGAGATGTCTGCATGCATCAACTGTATGCACGCAGTTAATTATTTATGAATTTACACAGTTGGGAGTCCTACTCTGCCTACTTCGAGGTGCTGCTGGTCCAGTGGTAGAATTTCCCCTCCCACGAAGGAGACCCGGGTCTGGTTCTGGCTGATGTATCTGAGGAGGAACACCCATCTGTCAGAAGGCTTCTGTGTCACTCTGATGCTAAACGGGAATCTGTGGTGCTTCCAGACTAAGTGAGATTAGGAAGGAAGGCCAGGGGATCTACTCCCCCACACCAGTCAGTGAAACCCTATGGACCCCAACGGCCTGGTCTACAGCTGATCACAAGGATGGAGCAGGAGCAGGTGGCAACCTGTTCCATTCTTCATGGGGTCCCATGAGTTGCAGACCAACATAATGGCAGCGAAACTGCCACCACCACCACCACTACACCTACAAAACCAAACCCACTGCTGTCTAGTCCATTCTGACTCAGAGGGAGTCTACCTAGGGTTTCTGAAGCTGTCAGTCTTACAAGAGCAGGCAGCCTCATCTTCCTCCCATGGAACAGTTGGTGGCTTTGACCCACCGACCTTGCAGTAAGCTGCCCAGTACTTACTGGACAGCACCAGCAGGGCTCCTTTCTACACTGACTGGCCTGTCTTTCTTCACAATATGTTCACTGACAACTCTATATGCCCATAAAGCTGCACCCACAATAGCATTTCTAATTAGGCCCCTTATGGTTGCTCCATAAATTATTAACCAGCCCTTATGGCTGGACATCTAGGTACTTTCCGGTTTCTCAAGATTACAAACAAAGCTACGATAAACATCTCTCATGTAGCTAGTTCTTTATGCGCAGCTCAACTTGTTCCTTAGGACAGCGGTTCTCCATCCCGGCTGCACATTACAATCACCTGGAGCACTCCACCCCAGATCAAATAAACCATCTAATCAGGACACACACACACACACACACACACACACACACAGAATTTCAGTGTAAAACTCTTCAGGTGGTTTTCCTGTCCAACCAGTACTAGAAGTCACTACCTTAGAATAGAGCCCTTAAAATCTTTTTCTCAAAATGTGGTCTATGAGCCAGCGGCACCCGGATAGTAGCTGTAAGGATGGGGTTCACTTAGGAGCTTGGTTTTTTTTGTTGTTTTTTTATGGTTTCTTTCTTTTTTTTTTTTTTTTTTCTTTTTTAACATTTTATTAGGGGCTCATACAACTGTTATCACAATCCATACACACATCAATTGTGTAAAGCACATTTGTACATCGTTTCTCAAAACATTTTCTCTCCATTTAAACCCCCGACATTAAGTCCTCATAGGAGCTTGTTAATACCTAGCACATACCCGTTGCTCCATGAATGATACCTACCACAACTATTATTGGTAATATTGGCCAATATTACACTCATTGTCCAGAGAGAAGACTATTTTGCTGGCCTTGTAGACGGAATATTAGACCTCATGGTGCAGGCATTCGTGTGGGGTCTGTAGCCTTTATAAATACTAAGAGGTGATGTTATAATGTAACTCAGCATTTATAATGATATGTCTGCTATCGGTCCTTATGTTTTTTCATATGTTGGCTTTGTCTCACACAAAGTAGAAAGTTAAGACCTTGAGAACGGCTCTAAGAGCAAGATGGCGGGGAGCGAGGCCGGAGTCACCCTGGGACAGCCTCATCTTTCTCGGCAGGATCTCACCACCTTAGATGTTGCCAAATTGACACCACTGTCGCCTGAAGTCATCAGCAGACAAGCCACCATCAACATAGGCACAATCGGTCACGTCGCTCATGGGAAGTCGACAGTTGTAAAAGCTATCTCTGGCGTCCACACCGTCAGGTTCAAAAATGAACTGGAAAGAAATATTACCATCAAACTTGGATATGCGAATGCTAAGATTTATAAACTTGATGACCCAAGCTACCCTCGGCCAGAATGCTATAGATCCGGTGGAAGCAGTGCGCCTGACGAGTTTGCGACGGACATTCCTGGAACCAAGGGGAACTTCAAGTTAGTCAGGCACGTTTCCTTCGTGGACTGTCCAGGCCATGATATTTTGATGGCTACCATGCTGAACGGGGCCGCAGTGATGGATGCAGCTCTTCTGCTGATAGCTGGTAATGAATCTTGTCCCCAGCCACAGACGTCCGAACATCTGGCTGCTATAGAAATCATGAAACTGAAGCATATTTTGATTTTGCAAAATAAAATCGATTTGGTGAAAGAAAGTCAGGCTAAAGAGCAGTATGAACAAATCCTTGCATTCGTACAAGGTACAGTGGCAGAAGGAGCGCCCATTATTCCAATTTCTGCTCAGCTGAAGTACAACATCGAAGTGGTCTGTGAGTACATAGTAAAGAAGATTCCAGTACCTCCCAGAGACTTTACTTCAGAACCCCGACTCATTGTGATTAGGTCCTTTGATGTCAACAAACCTGGCTGTGAGGTTGACGACCTTAAGGGGGGTGTTGCTGGGGGCAGTCTTCTAAAAGGAGTGTTAAAGGTGGGCCAAGAGATAGAAGTCCGACCTGGTATTGTTTCCAAAGATAGCGAAGGAAAGCTCATGTGCAAGCCAATCTTTTCCAAAATTGTGTCACTTTTTGCGGAGCATAACGATCTTCAGTATGCGGCTCCAGGGGGTCTTATTGGCGTTGGAACAAAAATTGACCCCACTTTGTGCCGAGCGGACAGAATGGTCGGCCAGGTCCTTGGTGCCGTAGGAGCTTTACCGGAGATCTTCACGGAGTTGGAGATTTCCTATTTCCTGCTCAGACGGCTTCTAGGCGTCCGGACCGAAGGAGACAAGAAAGCGGCCAAGGTGCAAAAGCTGTCTAAGAACGAAGTGCTCATGGTGAACACTGGATCCCTGTCAACTGGAGGAAGAGTTAGTGCAGCGAAGGCCGATTTGGGCAAAATTGTTTTAACCAATCCCGTGTGCACAGAAGTAGGAGAAAAAATTGCCCTTAGCCGAAGAGTGGAGAAACATTGGCGTCTAATTGGCTGGGGCCAGATAAGAAGAGGAGTGGCAATCAAGCCAAATGTAGATGAGGACTGAAGGTGGCCAGTTAAATAACAATGAAGTTGGAAAATCGCACCCACCCCCATAAAAAAAAAGATCTTGAGAACGAAGGGCTGTGTATTTAAAATATCTTGGAGCCCCACAAAGCTTCCTGCACATGGTATTACAGTGAAACTGTCCGAACTGGAACCCGACAGGACTGACTTTTCTGGGTTTCAAAGGTTTTCTGCCCTTGGCAAGATACAGTCTTATCAAATATTTCAAGTTTTCTTTTCAGACAGGATTCTGGCTTCCACAAGTTTTACTGTACCGTATTTGTAAACAAATATATGTTTTCTGAAAGTCTTCCTTTGGCTACAATGGCAAGAAATGTCATCTTTTCAAATGCTCAAGTTTGTACACTTGCATTTTAATGGTACAGGGTGAAATTTTAGGTGTGGAGAACTATACAAATATGACCATTCTTAAGAGGAACAATTAGGTTTTCACCAACAAAAGACAATACAACACTAGCGAGCTAATACTGAGCAACAGCACATAGCTTCCAAGATAAGGTTTACATTCATGTGAAGACTCCACGCGGAGGCAGATGCTCACAGAATCCTCCAACAGCAGACGGCACACAGACGCTCCGGCCAGCGGACCTCCGAGGATAAGTGAACAGAAATGGTGTGTTCTTTGATCACAATTCTATTCCTCTAAGACACTGACGATGTAAGGTTTACAATCCAAAATATAGAGAGATGATGTTTGTTCCTCTTCAAAAGTTCAAAGTGTCTTAGGATTTTATTCCTATCTGTACTTTTATTTTTTAATCATTTTATTGGGGGCTCGTACGACTCTCATCACAACCCATACATCCATTGTGTCAAGCACATTTGTACATTTGTGCTTGCTCATCATTTTCAAAACATTTTCCTTTTACTTGAGCCCTTGGTATCAGCTTCTCATTTTTTCACCTCCCTCCCACCCTTGATAATTTACAAATTATTATTTCCTCATGTCTTACACTGACCGATGTCTCCCTTCACCCACTTTTCTGTTGTCCATCCCCCAGGGAAGAGGACCTATGTAGATCATTGTGATCGATTACCCTTTTCTCCCCCAACCTTCCCCTTCCCCTCCTGGTATGACTACTCTCAATATTGGTCCTGAGGGCCTATCTGTCCTTTTAGTGTATGAACCAACGCTGGCTGGAATGGACAACCCAGCCGATGAGGGCAGAGTTTCTGGTAAGACACCGGGCCAGTTGCATGATGAGCGGCAGCGGTGGCTGCCTGTTTGTTAAATCGCAACCTTTGGGGGGAAGTGGTTTTCTTCTCCTCCCTCCTACTAACTCAGACGCACAAACAACCTCTCACACAGTTGGCAGTAGGAAATGTGAACATTTTATTGTCTAACAGAAGTTAAAACTTTCTAAATCTAACAAGTAGGAAAGGTGAACATTTTATTGTCTAACAGAAGTTAAAACGTTCTAAGTCTAACAAGTAGGAAAGGTGAACATTTTATCGTCTAACAGAGTTAAAACTTTCTAAATTCTATTATCAACAAAAAAAAAAACAAAAGACCAAAAGGCACACTGAGAAATTTTTTCAATCAAAACTATGCTCACTTCTCAGAAATATAAGACAAATGCCCGTCAGTCTACTGTGGCAGCCGGGCAGTGTGTTGAGCTGTGGCCCCGAGGGGAACTGCAGCAGATGTGCTCACAACTCGGATGCAGAAACTGGGGCTGGAGGGCATCTGTGATCCACGTCGGGTCAGTCTGACAAGTCGCTCTGATCCAGCACGATTATCCTGTGGGCAGGATTTGTAAAGGACAAAAAGGGGAGTTTTGCATTGGAGTGTATGTTTTTAATGACACTCTCTTTCTACTCAATTGAATTCAAAGAAAGGGTTGAGTTTTGATAATCGGGAGACTATCATCAACGCGGGAGACAGACAGGTGAGGCTTTCTACTCCCGTAAAGAGTTAGTCTCCGAAACCCACGGGGGCCATTCTAGGGGTTGGGCTCAGACTCAACCTTCTAGAGGAACAGACTCAATGGCCGGCCGTGAGTTTTTAATTGATGATCAACGAGTTTCTATCACAGAAATGCAAAACAATTGTAAAGCTGCTGGGAGGCAGACTCTCTGTACTCTCTCTGCTAAAATGGGCCTTGTGCTAGCTCTACCACTTATTGAATCAGACAAGGTAGCATTACCTTTAACGTCTATTTTAATTCACTATAAACTAAAAAAACAACAACACTGCCATTGAATCAATTCCAACTCAGAGTGACCCACGCAGGGTTCCCAAGAAGCGGCTTCTGCAGGGAGCAGCCAGCCTCCTTGCTTCCTCAGAGCGGCCAAACAGGCCACACTCGTGGCTTTGAACTGCCATCCTGTGCTTAGCAGTCCGACATCTCCACCGGGGCTCCCTTTTCATTGGAAACTGTAATTTTTTTTTCAAAACTGAGTGCCCTTAATTACATTTTTGTCATTAAATATTTATTTAGGTGCTGATAAATGTCCACAGTCTGCTCATGTTGTCTATAAACAGTGAGCCTGTACCTATAAACATCTGCTATCTCATTACCTGGAGGGTTCGGACCAACCGAGCCGCTTCCAAAAACAAGGTCTCAGTTCCTCTTGATGGAATACAGGAGGAAGGAAAAAAATCAGATTAGTTTGAGGTCAAAGAGAGCCAGTAAGGAGAAGTCCTGTCAATCTGAGGTAGACGGTTGGTTTTATCCTTTGGATAAAGTCTTGTTTTATCTTTCGGAGAAAGAATTGCTTTTTTTTCTTTCAAGAATTAGTTAATTACCGAAGAGTTAATCCTTTTTGTAAAGATTCGAGGAAATCCGTTCCTCAGTCCCTCTTGATCTGCTTCCTTGATGACCTGGGCTGTAACCCCTCAGCAGCAATGCCACACCTCCTTCCCGGCTCCCTGCGCCCACCGCCCTTCCCAGCCCTCTGATGAGATTCCTTCTCGTGGGAGTGGGAGTGTGAGCTGAAGGGTGTGTAAGGGTTGTCGTCTTGGTGTGTGGGGGGTGGGGTGGGGTGGGGGGGTTCTACCTGTCTCTGCCAGACCAGTGAAAATGATCTTTTCTAAAACTTTCCATCGTGTTCCACATTTTTCTCCTACTCTGTCTAGGATCTTCTACTGTGATCAGAGTGGTTGGCAGTGGTAGCCAGGAATCCTCCAGTTCTGGAGAGAGAATCTTCTATAAAAAGTCAGGGGATGGGGTGGAAAGGGGGAACCGATTACAGGGATCTACATATAACCTCCTCCCTGGAGGACGGACAACAGAAAAGTGGGCGAAGGGAGATGTCGGACAGTGTAAGATATGACAAAGTAATAATTTATAAATTATCAGGGGTTCATGAGGGAGGGAGGAGCAGGGAGGGAGGGGGGAAATGACGAGCTGATGCAGGGGCTTAAGTGGAGAGCAAATGTCTTGAGAATGATGAGGGCAACAAATGTACAAATGTGCTTTACACAATTGATGTATGTATGGATTGTGATAAAAGTTCTATGAGCCTCAATAAAATTTTAAAAAACAAACAAAAAAACCCTCAGGGGATGGGTTCCCCTCTCAGCCTACTCTTACTCCCTGCCTTGGCCATGGGCTCTCATGGCACGGATTCAAAAGAGGGCTGCACTACCTTCTCAGGGACTCGGCAGCAGCTGAAATGTTCTGCCACTAAAAGCCTGTGCCTGTCAGGTTCCAAGAGGAAACGGAACTTGCCCCCGGAACAAAGTGACCACTTGCAGAGGTGTAGTCTGGGATCGAGGAGCAAAGGGGCCCAGTGACTAGCTGCAGTGGGAAGCCACATGACTTCAATGTCTGAAGGGACAAGGCAAGGGGAGCAGGTGTTGGGGACCAGGGCCAGCTGGAACTGGAAAGGATGGGCTGCTTTGGAGAGCTGCTTTGGAACACCCTGCCTCTCTCCTGTCCTCAGGAAGTCAGCTGGCCAGGAAGCCCCAGAGATGCGGTCCATGAGGGCCAGCCTACTGAGGCACAGGGCAGGGCAGAAAAGGGAGGAGGATGACAACGGACCAGGGAGGGATGCAAAGGGGGGTCCAGGTGATGGAAACGCGTTAATGTCTGTAACTTTCTGAGGAGAAGGCACTTCAATATAGAAGGGAGTCATCGTTGAATGGCCTGGCAGAAGCCCTAGAGCTCTAGCAAAATAATTTTTAAATGAAAGTTAATTTATAACTTTCACAGAACTTGTAGACCCCATTGAAAATCCAGAATATAATATTCCTTATTGGATTCTGTAGCCTCTGGGTGAGCTCAATTTAGAATGTTTTTGAAGGGTCCACACAAGTAGGATCAAAACATCTTTCCAGGCAACGTACAACATAATGATCATGAGACAGGCTGAAGGCTTCCTTTCGAAGTGAGGCTGGGTGTTAGGACTATTTTGTGACGAGCATATGATTGGCAATGTACAGAGATTCTGAACCACATGGGGGAAATATGGCCTACAGTCGCTGGGACATGTACTGCTATCTAAATAACACCGATGGTCCCCAAACCCCAAGCACTATATACACATAACACTCCAAACAAGTGTTCATTCGTACCTTCTTCCGAGGTCCCTACAAAGCTCTCTGAGTTTCTTGGCTCTGGCTTGGTGCTCCTCTTGTCATCAACGTCTTGGTCCTTGGTGCGGGTCTCCCTTTAACGATCATCATTTGGGAGCATTAAACCATGTGCCCAGAGGCCAGGGGAACAGGACCTCCCCCAAAAGTAGCAGTCCCACCTCACTTAACATCTATATTACCGAACACTTTCTGACTAACAGTGTGCTCTTCTCCGTGTGCCAAGCACAGGTTCAAGGGCTTTGGGTATATCAGCCCCTTAGGGCCGGTATCGAGACCATCCCCAGACAAAGGTGAAGACACTGGGAGACTGGAAGCTCACTTTCACACCAGTCAGTCTCAGCGCTGGGCTCTCAAACCGCAAGTCTCCTCTCAATCACTCCTCTGCACTGTCCCAAAGAAACAAAGCAATTCTGTCGGGTCCTAATGGCCATCCTTTTTACAAATTCCTTTTAGTTGACCAAGGAGCCCTGCGGACACAGGGATGGCTGTTAACCTCAACCACCTTCTGCTTTTCAGGAGGCTGTCCACGCTCGGTAAAGCATGGTAGCCTCAGAAACCCACAGGGTCACTCGGAGTCAGCATCAATGCGGAAGCAGTGAATTTGGTTTGAGTTTAGGTGCCCTCCAGAAGAGGCCCTCTGGTGGCATCATGGATTACTCCTGGGCTGCTTAAGCCAAGGTCAGCAGTGGGTTCATTTTACTGCCTTATCCCTATTTCCTGAAACGCTCTCCGAGTGACGAATCTGAATCACTTATATATCCAAACACCCCACGCGTCCTGCCGCTCAAGTGATGGTGAGCTCCTGCAGAGCAGAGGCCCTCTTCCTCTCTGCACCTCCAGCCCCCAGCTCAGTGCTCGGCTCTCAGTGCTCACGGGTGCTGGCTGAGCCAGCCCCATCCTGCCCAGGGACTTCTCTCCTGTTTGCATTTGGTGGACATGCAAGACTAATCATTAAAACAAAACTAAGTATTAAATCCAGCCAAGGTGGGAAGAATTCTCTTCCTCATACCCTCCCAACATGATTAGTCATAGTTCTAGAGAGAACAGGCCTGTGGCTACCTTGTCCAGCCCCGTATCCTAGACCAGAGGCTCCTCTGGGCTCTGCTCGGGCAACAGTCTCCAAACTCGTTGCCTTACGGGACAGAGGAGAACGGCCCCTGTGGGTTCTGAGACTGTCACCCTTCATGGGAGCAGAAAGCCGTCTTTCTCCCATGGGCAGCAGTAGGTGTGGCGAAAGTCGAAGGGCAGCTGGCTCCACTGTCAGACAGTAATGACTCTTTGAAAGAAAGTTCATGCAGCTACTGGATAAAAATAGGTTACTTTGCAGCTTCTTATCACAAGGTCTGACCGTCAGAGCAGAAGAGAGTAAGCAGACTCTCTTCCCTTTATAATTCAGTATTTCAGGTATTTAAAGGCAGCGATCAAATCCTCCACTCCATCTGTTCTTCTTCGGACGGAGCCTCCCCGGCTCTTTCAGCTGTTCTCACAGGACATGGTTCCCAAACTCCTGACTGCAGCCGCCCACTTCTGGTGGTTGATGTCCCTTTTAAAATGGGGTTCACAGATGGAGCCCCACATCATGGCCTAGAAGTCTGGCCAATATGAGATGACTGCCCTGATCTGCACAGCACGTTTCTGTTCAGTCAGCCACATTCATGCTGCTCTGGCCTTTCAGAAGGAGCCCTGACAGCACAGTGCTAAAGCGCTTGGCTATCAACCAAAAGATCAGCAGTTCGAATCCACCAGCTGCTCCACAGGACAAAGATGTGGCAGTTTGCTTCTGTGGAAATGTAAGGTCATTGACAGCCTAAGGGGGGAATCTACTCTGCCCTGCAGGGTCACTGTGTGTGGAGTTGACTTGATGCCCATGGAGTTGATCCCTGCATTTTAGCAGCTGCATCCAGGGCTCAGGAGCTGCTGTGCTTGTGCCCCCCAAGAAGCATTTCTGGAATTCCTAGCATGTCCGAGAGGCACTTCCAAGGGAAACACACTCCCTGCCCTCAGTGAAGGCACAGGGAGCTGGAGCTTCTGATTAAAAAAAGGGAAAATCCCGGTCAAGTCCCATCTCTGCTGTTGGGGTGTAAATGCTCATCTTCATCTTCAGACAGATTGAGCATGTCAGCCTGTCGGGGCCACTTTGAGTCTGAGTTGATTACCCCTCAAATTAGCCTCCCTTCCTCCATTTGTGTTATCTGTCGATTTGATGACTGATGAAAATGTTGAAGGAGGCAGGGCCCCTTCTGTCCTCCCTGTGTCAAGCACTGTGGGTGTCCCCAGGCGAGGAGCCACCTCCAGAGTCCGACAGACGGAGTCAGGGCTGCCTGAGCAAAGCCATCCCTGGACCCTCATCTTCCCAGGCGTCTAGACAGACGGACCGACACACCACACCAAACCAGCCCTGCTCCCCGAAAGAGGACAGGGTCCCCAGTGGGGAACACTACAACCTTGCGGAGCCCTCTGGAAGGTCCCGGAGTCCCCTGCTCTCCTCAGGTGCCTGCAGCCACTTCTCCAGGTCCTCATCGAGAGTAGAGTGAGCTCTGTCCAAGGGCAAGCAGAGGGAATGGAGACACAAGTCATGGCCACTCTCCCTGGCCCGAGAGGCCTAACTAAGGGTGTTTGGGGCAATGGAAGGAATGGAGTTACATCACATTTCCCAGAAAAAGGCTCCTCAACCTTTTTTTTTTTAAATAGTGGGTGAAGGAAGACGTCGGACAGTGTAAGGTATGACAAAATAATAATTTATAAATTATCAAGGGTTCATGAGGGAGAGGGGGCGGGGAGGGAGGGGGAAAATGAGCTGATGCCAAGAGCTCAAGTAGAAAGAAAATGTTTTGAGAATGATGATGGTAACAAATGTATAAATATGCTTGACACAATGGATGGATATATGGATTGTGATAAGAGTTGTATGGGGGGGGGGCGAGGAGGGAGGGGAAAAATGAGGACCTAATGTCAGGGGTTTAGGTGGAGAGAAAATGTTTTGAGAAACGATATACAAATGCGCTTTACACAATTGATGTATGTATGGATTGGGATAACAGTTGTATGAGCCCCTAATAAAATATAAAAAAAAAAAAAGTTGTATGAACCCCCCCAAAAAAGAGTTGTATGAACCCCCCCAAAAAAGAGTTGTATGAGCCCCCAATAAAATGATTCTTTTAATTACAAATTTGGAAAAAAAAAAACACCCCAAAAATTCATCTTCTCCTTTCCTTTGCCTCTTTGTCTTCTCCCTCTTCTACTTCCTTGTGTATCTTGAAGGGAATGATAGGCACTGGATTAATTACCCAAAAGTTATTCCTAGCCCTCTTCTCCAAGGCCCTCCTCTTCCATAGCAGTGGGAAAGCGAAACATTCTCCTCTGGATCAGGAGGGGCAGTCGGCTAGCCCCACACCCCTTATCTCTGCCTGGGTGTGGACGGCAGCTGTCTTGCAGCCAGGAGGTGCCTGAGGACAAGTGGCGGAGCAAGATCATCGAAAGAGCCTATGTCGCTGGTGGCATCATTGAGCCGCCACACCAACCAGGTCCTGCCAACCTCCAGGTGTCTGGTTGTGGGAAACACAAGGATTTCTCCCTAGTTGTCTCCCCCAAATATATGCCAGACTTAGCTGCTTGAGAGTGACTGTACGCTTGGAGGCCATCAGGAGTGGATTGGGGGTCATTCTTCCTGAGAGTTATCAGCCGTCTAGACCAAGCAGACACCACTGTTTATCCCACAAGTAGGGCCCACTCCCTTCTGATAAGGATAGTAGTTGTCTGTTTCCTTGTAGGAGACACCAGAGAGGTCAAGCCCGCCCAAGGATGACCAAGGTTAGGCTGCCATCATGAATCGAGGGTCCGCCCATCTTGTCACATGTATACCCCTAGACCTTCCCATTCCTATGGGCACACCCCTAGCTCATCCCCTTCCTGTTACACGTATGCCTATCATAGATCCCCTTCCTACAAGGTGTATGCCTATTGTACTGTCCCTTCCTATGACGTGTGATTCTATAATCCTGTCCCCCTAAAGATATAATGCGTGGTTAGCAATAAAGAGGAGGCTCTCTCTGGCTTCTGGGGCCCAGGAGCTCTCTCCGGCTCTCAGGGGCCTGGGGGCTCCCCAGTTCTCGGTCCCCAAGGCTGCTCCTGCTCTCGTGGCCGGGTTCCCCCCACGAGGACTATCAAGTGGGGCTGAGGTGAGCAATGCTACCATGAATTGTGTCTGACTCCATTGATTCTGATCTCTCCTCTAACTCGCGTACTCTCTATGACTTTACTATAATCCTTACTTATTATCGCTGTACAATTGTGCCTACTGGACCTGTGATGATTTGTGGGGAACCCCTCTCCCCAACACTCCACATCTGGTGAGGCAAGACAAACTCAATGCAGACGGAGAGGCTCTGTCACCTGCAGCTGAAAGTACTATGCATGGCTCTCCAGGGTCCTCAGAGCCAGGATTAGGGTGAGGATACTTCTCAGGCATAAACATACACCATGCAGGTCTGGGTTACTGGGTCTCAGAGGCAATTTGGTCAATAGCGTGACATAGCTCGTATAGATAATGTCCTCCCCACCCTCATTTGTTGAGACACTTGGGATCTTAAAAGCTTTTGAATGGCCACCTGAGGTACAACTTTTGGTCTACCCACATCTGAAGCAAAAGAGAAAGAAGGCAAAGGAGGGGTCGCTATGAGGGCTTTCTGGCTGCACCGTTTGTCGTTC